AACCACAGAGTCAGGTAGTGCATTCCAGGCATTGACCACTCTGTTGCTGAAGTCATATTTTCTGCAATCGAGCTTGGAATGGTTTATGTTAAGTTTGTATCTATTGTGAGTTCGTCTATTGTTGCAGTTGAAGCTGAAGTAGTCATTGACAGGTAGAACATTGTAGCGGATAATTTTGTGTACTATGCTCAGGTCAGACCGAAGGCGGCGTAGTTCTAAGTTGTCTAAACCCAACATTTCAAGCCTGGTGGCATAAGATATTCTGTTGCGAGCAGAGAAATGGGCGACTCTTCGCATGAAATATCTCTGAACTCGCTCAATTGTATTAATGTCTGATATTATCACATCTTATCCTATTGTGACTCTATGGCATCAGATGTTGGTGATTTTATTATGGTTTTATCTTAATATTTTATTTCATATATTATACTGTCCACAGGCCTTATACATTTGCTAATGCTTTCTTTAAACTTATATTTCTATATCAGTGATTGCATGACTTCTGTAGATGCCATATGTTAAATAAACAAAGAATAAAACTCCAAGTGTTTTGGGGATATATTTATTCATTCTTTAAAAAAAAAAAAGAAGAAGGGGTAGATAAAATGTGAAGTCTTTCCTCCCCAAAAACACCTCTTTGCTTTGCCTGCAAACCTAGTATAAAACTATTGTGTGGTGTTTAAACTAATTCAGAACAAAACCATGCTGTTTCTCTTTCTTGAAATCTTATAACCTTGATTAGACAGTAATGATAAGGTGGCGATAAGGTGGGTGGGTAATGGTTAAAGAAGTCAGTAATGGGTGCATTAGTGATGAAATTAGAATAAATACTGGCAGACCACAGGGTACCTCCAGTTAATGCAAATTCATGGTGGTCCAAGAAAGTGTTTGGGGTCTTGCCTAAAAAATGACACCCAGCACATAACAAATACCTCAGCAATGCGCTGCCTATTGTTCTTTATTGATCAAAGAATAAGCAAAAGCCATTGAACAAACACTTCCTGGAAGTGTGGAATCCATGGTGAGGTTACTCAAGGTTTACTGAATCTAATAGACCAGAACACTGAACTAAGGGCAGGATGTTGTAAACACAGTGTGGGTGTAAATGTGGTAAAGGTGGGTGGTTGTTAACAGAATAAGAAAAGGATTGATAGGTTCCACCAGCTTTGTGGTGAGCCTCCCTGTCTGATACTATCTGACAGCAACTTAAAATGCCTTTACTTTGATCTTGTTGCAGGGGCTAATCCAGCTAATGTTCCCATTTGAAAGCTTGGGAGCTCCTTTTATTTCATTACCTGTCACAGAGCTGTAGAAACAATGTGTTTTGTTTCTAAATTAATGTCTTTTCTTTATTTAAATGACTCTGAATATTTCCCCTCCCTACTCTCCTGTGAGGTCAATTCTCTGTTGTTTAATTGAGTTGGGAGGGGGATTTATAACTACTTCTGAGGCTTGTACTGAACTAAATGTCCTTCCTTGAGTACCCCATAAATAAACTTGCTAGTAGCTTATCTGAAAGCAATTAGTGATATCTCAGCCAGTCTACATAAAAGGGACACCCTGAGAAACAAGGAGTCATCCATAGCTATGAAGGTTGACCTCAGCAAATGATCAAAAGGCAAAACTTAACATAGAAGCTGATGTAATTTCATACGGCTGCCCTGAAAGTTGTCCAATTTTCAGTAGCATCCAATTCAGAACCTGGAGAAAAAAAAGAGAGGATTAAATGCCCAAAGCTGTGACCATTCACTGAAAATTGGAGTAGAATACTCCATCTGCGTTTTTGGGGTTTCATCTATCGGTCTCATCTCATCTAAGAATGTACAAAGGCCTACAAGAGTTGTAGTCCAACATAACCCAGAATGCCTCAGTTCTATCAGAGATGCTTATCACAAAGTAGAAGGTCACATTTGAAGAGACTGCACTTAGAGGATGAGCACATGCTTTTCTGACAAAGATTAAGACAGATGATGTCATATTTTGAAATTTAGAGGATCGAGGAAAGGAACGACGCGAGAGCCAGGACTTCACAACAAGAATAAGGTTTATTCAGAAAGCAGGAGCTGACAGCGATTCAAATGTAACAATTCCGCGCCAAGGTATTTGTACTTGCTTAGTTAAACAGGGGAACCAATGGGAGGCCTGGTAGCGTCTAGCAACTGCTGACACAGTACCCTGGCCAATCAGCTTGGCTCGGCTGTCTAGCAACAGGCTATGCTGCGCCTCAGCCAATCAGGGCGCAGCCTAGACTGTTGCTGGCCTCCCGGTCGTAAGTGGAGGATTTTATGAATCCTCAACAGGAAACTTTCAAGATAGTCTGTGGGAATGCTATAGAGCAGATCGGTCAAACACGTGGCCCACCGGGCTCTCCTGGAAACTGCAAGGGACCGACCTCTGCCACCTCGGCCCTGGCCATGCCCACCCAGTCAGCTATGATGACCAGGCCACAACCACCCCATCCCCTCAATATTTTTCTTCTGGAGGTCTAAGAGACAACATCCCCTAAGCCTCTTGAAACTTTGAATGTCTGTAGTTAATAATTTTCACAGGAAGCTGCCTCGCATGAAGACTTCACAAAATGTCTTCCCGTGGCCTCCACTCCCCACTACATAGCTAGGTAGATCGTAGGAAGACTTGAGAAGCTACATTGAGCTCCTTATTATGCTTTGCATTCCCAGGTGTGCGTAGTTTGATACCTCCCAGTTGATTTCTGCTAGCTTCACAATTCTGTGCTCTGCACTTCTAAAGAGATATGGCTTTGATGTATTGTTTCTCCCAGACTGCTATTTGAAAGGAATTTAAATAAATGGCTTGGTCTAGTGGTTCAGGTAACATGATTTACAAATCGTATCTGGCAAGAGAGGAAAATAATTTTAAAGTTTGGATAGGTACGACATCTGGATTGACAAGCTTGTGGTGGAGATTTGGGTGGGTGTTATTTATTATATAAGATAGAAGATACCTCAGTCTTAACAGACTCTAAACTTTTTTAAAGTTTTTGTTTTGTGTTGTTTTAATTTTTCAGTTTTGGTGGTAATCAGCTGAGGGATTCCCATCAATGATCTTATACAAGGGTGTTCAATTAAGCCTTGGCACAGATGCGATCGAGTTTGACACCTGTGCCATGGAGTATCAACAGATAAAGTGATGTCATGTGTACCTTGATGTCATCATAGAAATGAGTCAAAAAATACAATTGCATCATTATTTTTTCTAATGGATGCTTATAGCTAAACTTAACACATTTTTAAATAGATGGATTAATTTAGGGATTCTTAGCAGAATATTTCACCTGGGTACAGGGGTGTGAAGAATCACATGTAAGTTCCAGATCAGAAGATTTATTTTTCAAGCCTATACACAAAAATCTGATCAACTAAAATTTAATACTAAATTGGCACCAGGGATGGGTCAACAAAATTCAAAAGAGGTTGAATTGGAAAGTTTGTAGACACCAGAGGTGGGTTCCTACCAGTTCGGACCCATTCAGCCTAATAGGTAGTAACTTGGCGGTTTGGGTCGCTGTAACTGCCAGCGACCCAGACTTGTCATGTCCCCGAACAGGGTCACTCCTCACCTCCCGGGTGGCTTGCCTGCCTAAGCTGCCACCTGGCGCCTACCCTGCACCCCACTGAGCTGCCTCCTCCTGTCTACAGGTAAGTCTCGCTAGCCCCCCTCCCTGGAGCTTGCTGCACTCCCCCCCCCCTGTCAGGTGCTTCATGAGCCGCGACTCCAGAGAAGGGATGGGGGAGTGGCTATCATCATCCGAGGGTCATCCGAGGGTCTTTAGTTCCTCGTAGGATCCCTGCTCCGGAGCTTGTCAGGTGTGAGTCCTTGCTGGTGAAGTTGGACCTTGGAGGTCAAGTGGGCTTGTTGCTAACGTGCCTTCCTCCCAACAGTGTTGCAACAGCCCTCCCCTCGCTCCTCGAGTCCGTAGCTGAGCTGGCAGTTGAGTTCCCCAGACTTATGATACTGGGGGATTTCAACCTGCCTTCGCTCGGTGGGCACTCTGATGGGGCGCA